TTCAAGCTATTTGTTGACAATGTATGAATTGATACCCATTATAAAAATATATTCGAGAAGTAATGTCCATCAGATGCGGCTACTTGTAAAGGTACCAATTTTGATGCACCAGATGCGCATTTCAAAAATTATGTCTTACATTTATTTGCCTTGTGTAACTTTGTTAAAAAGAATTCTGGTTGTAAACACAAGCACTTTGAAGTTAATATTAAAAAGATGCTTGAGTTTCTGAATGACAATATTTATGTAGTTTTCGGAGATCAGGACTTCCAACAATTTCTTGCAATTTTCATGGGTACCGATTTCGTCCCGTTATTAGCAGACCTATTTTTGTATTCATGTGAAGTAGAATTTATTCAAAAATATACATGAGAAGAATCGATATATCCCAGTGATCTTGAAAAAAAGATGCCATAGAGTCTGGCACATCTGTTTCATATTTCTTTTATGATAAAAGTCATGACTTTAACTTTTCAATCGTCAACTTCCCTTACTTACGTAACAATATATTCTTATCACCTGCATATGGGGTTTATGTCTCTCAGTTGATTCGATAAGCAAGAGCATGCTCTAAGTATGAACAATTTCTAAAAACAGGCAAGCTATTGACAAACAAGTTGATGAAACAAGGATATAAACATTCTCGTTTGTAGTCATCATTTTGTAAGTTTTATGGTCGATGCAACGACCCTTTCATCACATAAAGCCTAGCATAGAGTCAAATGCTTACTGACGTTTTTCCTACTAATTGTTAGGCTATTATTTATATACTGAATTGTCTGCAGATTTTTCCATTTATCCCGATCATGACAAGGAGCACGCGGTTGGTGTGACCAGTGCAGGGTATGCTCATTCCTATATGGCACCTGATCCCACCTCTTATTCTTTTGGAGGCCGCTTTTGGTCTTTCCCCGATTTGCATTGTTTTAATGGACTTTAAGCTTGAATACTGTTCAATTTTTTCAATATAAAGAGCATCTTTGACAAAAATTATGCAAATAAGATTAAGCTCGGTGAAACTCATATAGAACAATTCAAATGTTTTTTCTGATTAAGGTTGGTCTTTGGCAACGGCTTTTCATTGTTAAAGCGCTTGTCTCAATGTTTTCTGCATGTTCCATAAAAACATGCCGATTATTACATTTATCTACAAAGCCACGGCTACGCAGAGAATTTCCTTGCAAAAAAGAACATCAACTCCAAAATGAATTAAGAGGCAGTCCACCAGAAAACCAGGAAGTATTGTATTAATAGGCGGCACATCGAATGTGACGAATATTTGATATTTAATTGAAAACGATCTTAATGTAGTCCATATGGAATAATGTAAGTAAAAATTTGTTTGAAAGTAGCTTATTTACTAAAATATCGTTTTGTTTTGTGTTTTGAATTCCCCTATATAAACCATTGAATGTAGGTCGGAAACAAAGAACGGTAAATTCTAATACATTTTCAACAGATCTATAATTCACTCCAAACTAAATCAAGAAATATTTCATCTTTCAATTTAAAAAATAAAATCAGTGGGAAAAATATTTTCAATAGTAGTTTTCTTGCAAAATAGACAGTCATTTTTATGAAATTCTGTGATGCAAGAGTTATCTCCCGTAGCATCGGGAAATCAGCTAAACATCTTACTATCAGAACCCCTGTAAGATATTTAGAACTGATACGCTAAAGAATATCATTCAACCAAAAATAATTGGTTTATTTTCAAAACGCAATTAATATTCACCTCCAAACATAATATTTAGTTTAAAATTTGCTTTAATATTCAGGTTGAATCCACGTTTCCATTGATGTATCAGGGACGTCAAATACCTACCTTATATTGCGTCACAATAGTTGCAAATATTCCGCGGAAGTTGGTAAATTTATGTAAACGTGCAAAGAAAATTTTTTTTTTAAAAGTTAGGTTAAATAATTTCTCTTTTCTGCCCAATTACTTTTCCGAGTGCATTAAATAATAGTGTGATCCAGAATGTATTTTATTCACGGGCGGTGTCTCAGCTATAGATGTTTTAAAAAAGTCAGTATTGATAAGTAATTTTATACATGTACAAAACGTCTTACAGTCTTTACAATAATCATAATAGGATTAAATTGTTTATATTTTTTTAATGAGTTAATAGCAAATGCATACACTGCTTATTTTATAATTCCTGAAAATAATTTTTCTAGTGTAATTTATTATGAACTTTTCTGATAAAACTGGGATGTGAAAAGATTAAGAATTATTTCTTATTATTCAGTAGTGATGATTATTCCAGATTTACGCAACATTAATTCAGCAAAGTCGAGATGTACACTTCATGAAGTATTGTTAATACTTGAATATGTTAACTTATATGCAGTAATTTCAAATATGCAGTCAGTATTATACGATTGCTCACGATCGACTGTCGGACCGAATAAGTTTTTAAAACAGTTGTAAGAACGGAAGTACTCACATCCCACTTCACTAATTAGCAACGGTTGTTTACTATTAGTGTCGGTGGTTCAGATTCTGTTTAGACTTTATTTGTTTAAAAATTTAAAAACTGAAATAGAAAAAAAAACTTATAGAAATCTATAAATTTACTACTTAATAAGGAAATTGTTGCCAATACTACTGCTGGACGCCCCACTTCAAGCTGACACTAAAACGGCAGATGATTCAATGGACCATTTTTTTTATTTTCGTTTTTAAAATTTGGCAATTGTTTCACATATCCTAATACTTTATATTGAGTTAAAATAAGTCAGTAGGTTGGTCAATTTCCAAAATATCTCATTATTATCAGACCAGTTACAAAACGGATGCCGCCCAGACGACACCCCCCCCCCCCCGCTTTTTTTTTCGAGCTATCATTTCTGGGCTCTATTATCATGATTATATGTATGTAAGTGTACAGGTTTTTTTCTTATTTATTTCAAATTAATTTTTTTAGAGCAGGAAAATATTTCTTAATATGATGAATGGATGAAAAAAATTGGATTAAAGCCGAGACTGTACACATAAAAAATACTTGCTGGATTAAAGTACGTGCATGTATAATTTTGCCACCGCAAGACTATTTTTATTTTTTTTTTTTTTAGATTTTCATCTTAGTCCAGATATTTAGAAAAATATTTTTCTTGGAAAGAGATATTTTATTAAGCTTAAAATTTGCTATTAATTGTTACATGAAATAAATATCTTTTTAAATAGGTGTGTATCAAGAAATCAAACAGATGTTTTACAAGTAATTAAAAAGATCTTCATGGACCTGAAAAACATTTAGTAATTAAGATATATGTAATCTATAGATAAAATCATCTAAAACATGTAACTCACAGAAAAGAAATAAAATACAGACATATAAATTCTTATGATAAAATACAACGAAAAGCCCATTTTAGAAAATATTTCTAATTTTAAATATAGAAACCAATCCCGATTGAAATAAAACCGATCCCGATCGAAATTAATGCACAATTATTAAGTAATCAAATTAATGGTAATTGCCACCTAGAAAACATGTTTAAAAATAAATCAAGTAATTTGTAAACCATATTAAAAAAAACAACCAATTTTCATGATGAAATCATAGTAGCTTTCTTCTTTATATAATTCCGGTCGGGATCGGTTTAATTTGGATAAATTTATAAAAAGTAGATAATTTCTCTCAATATACCTGTTCCCACCAATTTTTCAAAGTGATTCAACAATTTGTACTTTGTATTCATAATAACACGAGGAGAAAGTTTTGACATTTAAATGTATTGGATTTTAGAACGTAATGAAAATTTGATAGTGAATTCATTAAGTCACTTGCTTAACTCAAGTTAACAAGTTGACATATCCAGTTTTTGAGTATCTGTTTCAAATGAAACAAAAACAAACACGTAATAAATTTTTAACCAACTTGTTGACCTTTTTTGCACTTAAAATTAAGCACTTACCAAAAATAGGACTTGAGGAAGACTAAAAAAAAATTTGATGTTGCCATATGTAAACATTTGCTTTAATAAGTCTACATGCAAAAAATGGTTAAAATCCATGACATACGATGTGCCAAACATTGCCTGGTTTTTTGGTGGACTGCCTCTTAATTACTTACTTAACTTACGCACGCACTCCTTCAAACTTCCTTGCGAGGGGATAATTGAAGGAACTTAAATATCATCATTGTATAATTTGAATTTAAAGAGTACAAACTAATATTGTATAACAGTATATTCAGACAGTATGCATATCACATGCACTATGGTCCTTAAAAAGAAAGTATTATACAGAAAATTAGTTCTTTTCTCATTTTGAAGGTCGTAAAATTTATAAATGATAGAAAAGTTTTGCTTTTTTTTTTTTTTCTTTTTTTTTTTTGGTTTTGTTTTGTTTTGTGTTTTTTTTTTTTTGAAGGTAGAGATAATATCTTGAATTTGGAACATTTTTAGAAATATAAGAAAAACATTCCAAATTTAGGTTTCACCGAATTGATAAGTTAAGGTCATTTTCTGCACATTAGAAGCCGAAGAACGTCATATAATATGTTACGGAACCCGATTTGAGTCAAGTATGATACACTCTGCCAAAAATGTTTGTTATCAAAATTTATCCATGACAATATCAAAAATAATAATATTCTGTATTTTCGAACGTTTTCAAGCTCAAGTGTAATGACATTTCAAAAAATAAACTTCTTGTTAAATGTTGAATTCTTTCAAAATGTGAAAATGAGGCATGTCTTATCCCCTGGAAGGCAATGAACAAAACAATTGCAACTTGAATCTTGATGAAACAAATATTTGATTAATATATATAATATTATATATAAAAAAATATATAATATTATTTAATTAATAATGATTTAAAATATAAATTCCTTCAGAATATTAAATTATATAATTTTCTTTCCAGTGTTGGCGATCGATTAACTGGAGGTATGGATATAAATGTTCACTTTCAACTATACATTTATATTCGTGTAGAGCATTATGGATGAGTGTTAATACTATATTTTTTTGTTTTTATTAGTATTATGGACAGAAATTCCACAGTTGAAGATTTGTTTTTATCAAGTAGAGTGAACAACAGAAGCCTCTTCATGCCTTGGAATAATCTAACATCTACCAAAGGTGCTGATAATATCCTCCAAGATTCCTTTGTAACCTTCATTTCTGCTAGTATAATATTCGTAGCTGGAGCTTTTGGAAACTGTTTCACAGTTATATTAATTTTTGTGAAAAAAAATTTGCATACACCAACTTACACGGTCATAGCTTGTCTGGGGATCGCTGATCTTTTGGCATCCTTTTCCCGATTTGCTTCAATTCTGGACGGCTATTATTGGACTTTTAATTACATGGAGTCTTCAATTTACCATATAATTACCATGTTCTTCCTACATGCAGCAGATTGCCATATAGTTTTGTTTGCTTATGTACGCTGTTCATTAATATCGTCACCGTTTGAAAGTCTTAGAATTACCTGTGGAAAAATCTTAAGGATCTCGGCCGTTCTTTGGGTATTAAGTGGCATTGTGACTTTTGCTTACGGCACAGTAAAAATTATGGAATTCAAAAGTATCCTTGCGCATCAACATGTTTTGATACTTGAGATTGCATCTGGAACTTATATTTACTTTTTGCCTTTATTCCTTATAGTTTTCTTCCATTTTAAGAAAATAAGAACAATGAAACAACATCAGCCTGATACAAGAACACAATATTACACACATATGTCTCGTTCTATGTCAATTATGTTTATAATTATCATTGCTATTTACATTATTAGTAAAACTCCATTATATGTACATGTAATCATAAATTACGTATGTTTTGAGGAAAATTGGAAATTATTTGTTTGTACTTGGTATTCCTTTCCATTAAGCATTTCAATCTCATATCTTTGTCTTATGTTGAATTATTGTATAAATCCAATCGTTTATTTCTTGTTTTCACCTCCTGCACGTAAGCTTCTTCTCAGTTGTAGAAGATTTTGCTCATGATTTTTTAATTGTTTAGTGTATAACTGTAGTATCAATCCTTCAAAAAATACCTATCTAGTGAAATAAATTGAAAATTAAGTATAAAAAACAAATATTTATTAAATGATATTAATTGAAGATCTTCTTTAGAAATTAATGTTTAGGACAAAGTGTTCCAAACAATTTCATAACATATTTGCTTTTCAGAGGTCACATTTCATAGATATGCAATTGAGAAGCAAACTTATTTGTGTTCGAACAATTTTATATTCTAGCATGAAACTTCATGTTTATAGTTTGTATCTCTAATAAGAGTTACCTATATTCTGTTACAATGATATATAGGTATATGATACGTAGAAAATGATTAATAAAACAAAAATACTGTTTTTGCTCGTCCTTGCAAGTTTTGTCAAACAATTGAAGTAAAAATACATAAGTTGCAAAAGGAATGAGATGCTATGTCAGAGATATAATATATGACTCATTTTGAAACAAGCCATAATACTTGGGAAAAAATAAAATGTATTTGTCATAAATTATGGAAATAGTATTTATTAAATACTTCATGTAACAGTAAAAAATATTATGTTCAACTATAGTTTACCTGATAGCAAACAAAATATCAAATTTTGTGACATACAAGTAGTTAATTGTAGTAACAAAATTCAACAAAAAATAAACCTTATATAAAAATTTCATAGTGTAGCAGAAATGTAATTTCATTCATATCAAATAAAAATATTTTTATTCCTCTTTAGAGGGATTATTTTTAATATCAGATGACGATATTACTTTTAAAGCTTAAGCATTAGTGAAAAAAATATGATCTAATTCTTCAGAAAAGTTTCTGAGTAAAGTTATAAAGTAAAGCAAAGCGTCAGGGTAACGTAGTTACGTGTCATAATATTTCAAATATTCAAAGTAAAGTATCGAAGTATCATATTATATTAAAATTCAATAGTAAGGTATGAACTATTTATAAAGTGCTGTAAATCATCAAGTTTCACAAAATATCAAATCAAAGTTTCGAAATATCATCCTAAATTAAAGCATTGAAAAACAAAATAATTACAAAATTACAAGTACAAAATTAAATTAAAGCAAACTTTTGCTTACTTTAGTAAATTTTTGACAGGACAACTACAACAAATAGAATATTTGTCGTACATGTAAATTTCATTTATTTTCATAGGGGCAATAAGAGGAAAAAAAAAATATTGGTTAGAGGAAATTTGATTACGTGGTTACAGGCTCTGATAGGCTTTTTTTTAATAAATACAAACCAATTCTTTACTTAAATTAAGATTGCAAGCTTTCAATCAGAGATATTTTCGACATTTCCTTTTCGGACCTCATGTGTGCCACTTCCAAATGTTCTATTAAGGATTGCAAAACCTGAGATATTTTGATAAAAAAAAATACTTTGTTTTATAGCAACCTTACTGGACATTTACTAAAACTGGAGAAATTCTGACGTGTAAAACTTCAAATGTTGCCTATGGATTTGAATATGTTCTATGCCGACGGATTTATATTGGGAAACAAAGGGTTCACTCAATAAGATGCCAGGGCATATGTTTGAAATAAATAATGGGGAACATCAACATCTTTATAATTATTTCAATTCTCCTGATCGCTCTTCTTTTAATGATACTAGAAAAAATCATCCGACAAATTATCCCAATTTAAGTACTCCATTCGGTAGACAACGAGAAGAATACTTGTTCAAGAAACTAGGAAAGGCATTTCCATATGCTTGTAACGACCATGTTAATAATTTGGGAAATCTTTCAACCCCACAATGTGTCAATGTGAACGTGATGGGCCTTTTTTTTTACAATACGCAGCAGAATATGTACACACAGGTCAAGTGCTACCCACATTAACATGTGTAACATCGCGCTTTGAATGTTGGGAAAGGAACTACTTTGATATTTCTGAATATACAACCTATCATTGAGTCAAATGTTGACTGACGTTTTACATACTAATTGTTAGGCCATTATTTATACACTGAACTGGATTTTTTTTTCGATTATGACAAGGAGCAAACAGCGGGTGTGACCGGTTGGCAGGGGATGCTCACTTCTCCATGGCACCTGATCCCACCTATAAATTTTGAGGTCCGTGTTTTCTCTGCTCCAAATTTGTATCGTTTCATTGGACTTTCGAGGTTGAATACTGTTCGTTATCTTCGCAGTGCAGTTAAGGTGACAAATGGAAATACTGTAAATTCCTTATTTTGCTCGAGTACTTATAATCGCGTCAAACCGCGAGAACAATAATTCGCGAGTGGACGGTTGATGAAGAGATTTTACGTTGATTTCAGTACCATAAAAATAAAAGCGAGCAATTTTATTTTGCGAGTGGTGCTGCTCGTGAAATTATGCGATAATTAATTCCTCGCGTATATTTAAGAATCTACAGTATCGGCGATTTTTTTTTTAGATAGAAAGCACATTCTTTACAAGGATGGGCGATTCCTTTTATGGCTTCACTATTGTCGGACAAATGTAATGTGGTTCAAATCTACATGTTGAGGAAGATTAGATTTCTTATTTAGACTTGTCACGTTATGTGGCAGTCACGTGATTTTATCAAATATACCTGCAGTAATGAGGTCATCTACAAATTCGAATATTGCAAGGATATCCCAAGTTAAATAACTAAGTTTAATTTATAATCATTTTTAACACTCTTTGTAGTTTATGAAAAGTCCTGCGGAGTTATGTAGATTCTACTATCTAATTGCTAAAATTACATTTACTAAACTGCATGTTGAATATTCTGCTGGTCAACTACATTAAATATAGATATAATTAATTCATTTGCAAGATTTCATCAGGTTCGCAGCACTTTTCGAATATCTTCATACCTCTTGAGTTTATGTGTAAAAGCTTGTCATTATTCATTGAGGGTATGCCCTTGCAATATATAGATTTATTAATTACGACCCTTTTATTACCCTTCAATGATTTTGCATATAAATATGCGGCAGTATCGCTTGTCTAGGAAATATACGGAGAGTGTATGATTAAAATCATAAAATAGACATCGCATCCAAGTTAATGGCCTCTTATATATCTGGAAATCATATTTTATTTAATTACAAAATACATTTTTCATTGTATAAAATATAACTTGATCAGCCTCTCACTGCATACAAACTGCGTCAAATTTTACGACATGACGTCACATTGACAAGTGCATTGCGATCAGTGAATTGTTTATATATTACTGTGTGGGATTTAACCAACGACAAAAATACATGCAATAGTAAGTATTGATGTAGTTCAAAGCTGTCCAACAGTTTAAAATAGCAAATCATTTCATTTTGTAGTAATTTGAAGAACATATATTTTTGTGTGATGTCATAGTAAGCATTTCATATGTAGAGCATGCTCTGGCGTATCGAATCAACTGAGAGATAAAAAAAAACTTATGTAGGGGATAAGGGTATATTGCTACATAAGTAAGGGAAGTTGATGATTGAAAAGGTGAAGTCATCATGTTTATCACGTTTATCATAAGGCTTTCTTGTAAGGTTACCATTGACGTCTTTCTCTAGTAAAAAAATCTAAATTACAGAAGTGTCAGAATATGTGGTATCTTTCATTTCAAACTCACTGGGATATATCGAGTCGACATATAAATGAAAGTAACTATTGTAAATTCATAATACGGCTTTGATATAACGAAATGTCGAGTTGAAAGACACGGAAAGTGTTTTCGTCTTCTCATATAGATGTTTTTGAATAAACTCCGCTTCATATAAACACAAAAATACGTCTGCTAATAACGGCGCAATTGGTACCCATGGGAATTCCAACAGATTGTTGGAAGACCCGATCTCCAAAAAATACATAGATATTGTCAATCAGAAACTCCAGCATCTTTTTTATATCAACTTCAGAGTACTTGTGTGTACAATCAAAATGCTTTCTAACAAAATTAATGTTGAAAATGACCAATGACAATGTAAGTATATTTACGAGTTCCATTTTTATTGAAAAAGCCTGGACTTCAATTTATCGTGAGGAATGGTTGTATAAAGTGCTGAAAAGTCATAAGTTTTGATGTTATTGATTTTAGTAAAATTTTGTGATTTCAAATTTTCTAAAAGTTCTTTGGATTTTTTAAGTATCCACATCTGATTTACACCACTTCCTGAATATAATGTTGTACAGTACTCCTGAATTTTCTCCTTCATTAAAGTAAATATTTTAATGAAGAGTAAAGAAAGAGGCTTGGTAGAACATTTACCGGAACCCGCTATGTATCTTTGTCTGTAAGGATTTTTATGAAGTTTAGTAATTCAGTTAAGGTATGGTAAATCAAATTCATTTTGATTGTTGGGAATATTAAAAATATCTAAAACGAACAATATGATTTTGAAGAATTTCGCAAGATCATGGGAAGCATATTCAAATTGTATTTGATCGATTTAGAGAGCATGGATTAAAGTTAAATTAAAAAAAAATGCAGTTTTGTTCAAGAGAAAACTTAATAATTCATAAAGCGGGAATAAGACCTGATCCGAATAAAGTTAAGCTGCAATTTGCACTTTACCGCCGAGTACTGTAAAAGAAATACGCAGTTTGATCGGTATGTGAAATTATTACCATCGATTTATACCAAATTTTCCAAGAGTGCAGAACACCTGGTATCATTAATAAATATGCAAGATTCAAACGGAATGAAGATTGTCAACAAGCTTTCGATTTCTTAATAGAGAGTCTAACAAAAGTACCACTTTCATCAATACCCGATCCAAATAAAGAGTATATTCTCTACACCGATGCTTCTGACAAAGCAATAGACACGTGTTTAGCTCAACCGTTAAATGAAAAAGAAGAGGAAAATGAACTTATAATATAGGGTATTAGAAATGAAAAATACATTTTTTATTTTTCACACAAACTGAGTGACACACAAACTCTCTGGACTACAGTTCTACAGTAGAAAAGAAGCATTTGCAATTCACTTTGCACTTCACAAATTGTATAATGCAGAATTTG